TAGTAGGTGCATTTTAAAAATGTTTTCCCGATGAATCCTGGACTCTTGCTCAAAATTATAAATTAATATAAGAACAGCTACAAAAAAAAAAAGCTGTTGTCGTTCCATTCTGACGGATGACTGCTGTGACAGCTAAGTGGAATCCCGGAAAATAAACCGTGGAACAACTGACCAATGAGAGAACAGTTTACTCGCGCATGACTTGTATTAACAAATTTGGTCCGTTTAGAAACTTTGCTGTGTGAAGGCAAACCGCACCAAGAATAAAAAAAAGCAACATTGTAATAATTTTAATCCCTGTTTCAGAACAAAGGAATCGATCTACAGGTGTGAAAGCACCAGTCACCGTTATTAAGACTGAGGCATATTAATATCACTCCTAATTCTACCGAGAAAAGACTACAGAGGGCCACAAAGAGGCACTGGGAAGAGAAAGAAATAGAGAATATAATTTCAGTCAGACATGTGGATATTCCTTTCCACAGTTTTATTTTTTTCCACCCCCCCTTCGTTCTCTGGAGGTTTCGAGGCGAGCCGTTGAAAGAACACAACAACAGCGTCTCCAAACCTCTTGCACTGATGGAAACACTAAACAGAAGAAAAAGACTCACTAGCTCCATTTTCCGAGACACCACTCAAGGTGTATTCATTCGGCTCACGTAGGTGAGGTCTGGGTTGATGGGCAGAGAAGCAGCACACGCTATTTACATATCAAACCCGGCAAGTTTCCTGCTCTCCCACTAATTGATTGCAGCAGTGGTGGGCCACGATCCGGGCAGATATTTATTACCTGGTTTAATTAAAGAGAAAGCCTCTGAATCTGCACTGGGTGAATAATGGACGCTGGAGCTGATTTCTTGTAGTGGAAGGAATTTGAGAGTGGAACGTTAGTTGTCCTCCTCTACTTAGGTGCTTACCATAAGACTAATTCTGGATGATGTGTCAAATGTCATTTCAGATGGTCCACTTTTAATTTTTTCTGTGAAATACCAGGGGAGAATTTGTTTTTAATCTTCATGCAGCAGTTTTTCATTGAATGATTTTGTGACCACCATTAAAAGGTTACAAAAGAACACCAACAATTCAGCATAAAAGAGGATCATACAACTTGTCCTATTCAGACATTCAGGAAGTTTCTTTTTTATTGGGGTTTTGTTTTCGCACCTTGCGAATGCATGTCACATTTTGATAGAGACAAGTACGGATGACAGGTGGGTAAATATTGTTTAATTTGGTCATAAAAATCAATGGGTGTCTTCAACGGCGGTGCAACTGTGTTCAGTCAGCTATAACCTTTTGTTGGCGGGGCACATCGATCTGCAAACCCTGAATAGGGAAATTGATTAAAATGGCTTTGGTAAAGAACATTTCATCAGATTGCAATCAAAAGCCACAAAGGGTCATTGGTACACAACGGCATTTTCAAACTTCAAACAAACCTTCTGAATTATGAGGAGCAGATCTTTAACCATGGTTCCAAACCACTCTGAATCAAAGTCCCCACTCTGCCATCAGGGGCGTGTCTACCCCAGGTGCCCCCCCTACCAGATGTCTTGCGATAGGCTCGCATGAGGACGAATCTCTCCACTCTCACTTGTTTAGTGAGTGTACACGATGTATTATAACATACATCGTTCCGCAAACACAACCCCCCCCCCGGCCACCCTCTTTTGAGCCAGTGCCCCCGACTGGCCCCCCCATTTAAAATGCTCTAGACATGCCCCTGTCTGCCATAAAAGCCACAGTTCAGCTTTCAGTTAACACGTCATCTATTCTATGTTTGGCCCTCAAGGACTTGGCTGCTCTTGTGGCGAACGGCACAGTCACCAGTAAGCCTCCAGTCACGCTGCGGCTGGTCATCCCGGCCAGCCAGTGCGGTTCCCTCATAGGCAAGGGCGGCTCCAAAATCAAAGAGATCAGAGAGGTGAGTGCTTTTCCATATCCCTCTTTCCTCCTCCCTAGGACGTCCATGTTAGGACTGCTTGCTCCGTTGCATATTTCATGGGTTTGGATGCCAGTAAAAACCCATTTATTTTACATTTATGGTCTCTGGGCTGTCAAGATGGTATGAGGTAATGGTGAATGGTCTGTCATGCTAAATTTGGTGTGTTCCGTAATGCAGTTGCAAGGGGTGTGGGGAAGGTTGTTGGAGTTGGGGGAATATCAAGTGCGTTAAGCTAATCAAAGCAAGAAAGTAAGTTTTGAAATGGGGTATGTTTGGTGGGTTGCTGGAGACTTTCAAGTAAGCAGCACCAAGTAAACAGTGCATTCCAGTGTTTTAGCCGTACCCTCTTGCTTCATTGGGTTTGGTTAAGCAACTCCTGGATTCATGTTTTTTTTTTTCCACTGTGGGTTTGATTATAAATGTACATGTATTTGGTGGTTTTACCCTAGCAATACTTTAGGGGGAAATTGCTGGAAGTTATTTAAATTGAACAAACTATTTGGGGACATCTTCAAAGAGAAAGATCTAATTGCAGTAAAGTTAGGGTTTGGGTTAGTCCTCATTATTATCCATTTCCTAGGTCAGGGGTGTCCAATCCTGCTCTTGGAGGATCAGCAACTTACTGAACTCCAGCCCTAAATAAAGACACTTCAACCTAAACATGCTATTTCAAGGTCTCACCTGTCAGACAGGTGTGTGGGAGCTAAACTCTGCATGAAGCTGGCTCTCTAGGAGCAGGATTGGACAGACCTGACCTAGGCAAATCAATGTACTAATGATCTGTTCTTCCTTCGTGTGGCAGAAAACAGGGGCTCAGGTACAGGTGGCAGGAGATCTGCTCCCTAACTCCACAGAGAGAGGTGTGACGATATCTGGCAGCCAGGACGCTATCATCCAGTGTGTCAAGCTCATCTGCACTGTAATACTAGAGGTAATTTGACTCTGAGCAAATCCATTTGGCTTCATTAACGCAAGATTTTTATGCATGCATTGGCCTTGAAAAACTGTTATGGATGACTATTGTGTGATATTCCTAATCTACAAGACGTCAAATGCTTCTGTGCTTCAAAGACTGCATACTGGTTTTCAGTTTTAGATTTAGTGGCGTTGATAAATGGATATGATACATTTCTGGAGCCTAAACAGATATTTTTACTGCATTTTGCATGTCAAATACTTTTTCCAAAGATACTCGATCTAACTAACTGCATGTTAAAAATCATTACAGTAATGATTAGTGAATGCGGTCTCTCAGCTGTCCCACAGCGTGAAACGCATTTGCTCTCAAATGGTTTTCTATGCACATAAATGGTTGAAAAAAAAAAAAAGGAATTTACACTTTTTATTCAGTGGGATTGTACTGAATGCGTACTGCTTGTTCTGTTTAATTTTTAAAGGACCAGATGAGGGGCAGATTGTTGACTGCTACACTGCCCATTTTAGGAATCCTCAACTGTCTGCCTGCTCCAGAATGCAAATTATGCAAAGTCACCCAATGAATATTTAAAAAGATTCTTTTGTTTGGTTGAGCAATTGTGGGGGATGCGCTTCACTGAGTTTTCATCACTTTGGCCTTATTCTGACCTATTAATCGAATTACTGCATATGAGCAGGTACAGTTATTTATCGGTGTACTTGTGTTTTATTTAATAAAATATGTCCTTCAGGCACAGATGACAGCTTGTCTAGGACTAATAGGCCAAGAATGATTTGACAGTCATTTTGTAAATGTATTTTATTCCTTTTTGAAATTAAAATGTAGGTTTGAACAACAGACTTGTAGAGTTGCAATGATGCTACATGCTCAGGGCACATTTTCTGCATTGCAAGTTTTCCATCTGAGGATATCATGAGCAAGCATTAATAGCATTCTGAAATAATTTGGCCAAATGACTTTCTGTGAGAGGATAATGGTATGCTTTTAAGTGATCCAATGAAGAGCCAATCGATAAATGTTGCATTTGTGCACCGTGTCAGCATTTCCAGTCATTAAGATAATATGACCAAATGACTTTGCAAATGCCCTTAGGTAAGAGAAACCTTGATTTGTTCTAGACCTTTTAGCGCCATTGCAGAATGAGCTGAGAATGGTAGTCACAGTTTAATACTGAGGGTGAATCTGTAAAGTCCTGTGTTAAAATTAATAATTGTTGTATTTTATGTTTGTAGTCTCCTCCAAAGGGTGCTACAATTCCATACCGCCCCACTCCAGCTCCAGGCGCAGTGCTTCTTGCTGGAAATCAGGTAAAAATGCACATCAAAATGGCAAAACATGCGGTTCTTTCAACAAAGTGTCCCGCTTTCCTTATAAAAATTCACGACACTTAAAGGTGCGCTACAAATGAACAAAAATCATTTTTTGAGAAAGTACATAAAATCTGTGTGAAACTGTCTCCTTGCCTTACTCCAGTTCTTAACAGATCTCTTAACAGATAATACTGACTAATAATTTGAGCTGTCGGGTTGGATTTTGCAGGAATTGTCAGTTTGACATCATTTGTCTTTGTGTGGTCACGTCCACAAACTTTTGTGACATTATTTATTTTAAAACAATTAATTTCAATGAGATTTATATATTTTTTGATTGTTATGACTTTTCTTTTTGGAAAGGGAGTAATAATATACCTCTGAAAGTAACTTGAAGTTTTAAGCTTCAATCGCTTAAAGAGCCAAACATCCCGTAGTGCACCTTTATTAAGTGTTAAAGGAGTAGTTCACTCAAAAAAAAAAAACTTTTTTTTCATAATGTACTCACCATAAATCCCTCATTTAGTTTTAAACCTGTATGGCTTTTTCCTTCTGTGGAAATGTTGCATATCCTGGCCACTCTTTTTAAAATAATCAATGTGAATGAGTTGTCAAGCAACAAAATGACAAAACAATCACAAAAGTAGTCCACAAGTCATCTATTATATTCCAAGTCAAATAATGACAGAATTTCATTTTTGGGCGAACTATTCCTTCAAGGCCTTGTTCACACTGCACACAAATCTGATTTGTTTTTCATATCGTCTTCAGGACTGGCTGTCCAAAGTGACATTTTGCAAGGAATGAAATTGGAATCCATTTGTTCAGACAGTATAGTCAATGTCTGGTACAGCTACATCGATTGTGACAGTCATGACGCAGGTGTCATCATGATGCCAAGAGAGTTGTTTCTTTTACAGCTGAAATTAGCAAGTCGTCATTGTGGATGTCTATTATGGCTTCTCACCATGGTGCTAAAAATTTTAAAAAAGGATTACAGTATTTAACTGTATGGGTATTTTAAAGTATGAATGTAGTTAAATCAGGTTTGTTTTTTGCAGATCAGTCTAGAAATAATGTTTGTATACACCAAAAAAAAAAAAAAAAATCCTGTGTGAACAAGGTTTAATAGTCTCAAATATAACCCTCATAATTAGTGCTGGGATCAAGCAGATCCAATTAACATCTCCAAAAACACAAAACCCACCTGTAAATATGCTGTGTGCACTGAAAATACTTAATATTCAGTTGACTTAATATAGTAGAGTTTCATAAAGCGCCACACAGCTGACAGAATGCTGCCTCTATTTCCTTTAACAAAACGCATCTCTCCATCAATGAAGGGTATTGGTAAGGACAGTCTATGTTTTTATATATTATATTTACAGTCTATGTAAATATTTCTTAAGCCTGTTTGTTGTGTGTTCATTAACTCTGAAGTCATTTAAACAAAGTATTGCAAACATATATAAATACATCTAAGATTTAGTTCCATTTATTAGGTTACACTGTTATAAATCTGTCATCCAGCCAATATCATATTGTGAGAAATTCTTACAGCCTCAATAGACCTTATTCAGTGTGAATGGCATTTGACGCAAATGAAAATGAGACTCTGGAATGGAAGTATATTCAGTATATTCAAAACCTGAAACACAAATTTGTGTGTAAAAAACATTCGTAAGTCCCAGTTTTGTCGGAAGATATATTTTCAGTGCTTTGACTAAATTTGTTCGTAAAACCATTCTCACTTAAGTTGTCGGATTTAATGGCCTTTGAACAAACTGTGCTTCCATCTTTCACCGCCTTGTTTTCATCCCCATCAAATGAAGTATGCCGTCTACCATGACTAAGGTCTATTGTTTCACTCTTTAATCTATCGTTTGCTCCATTATTCACTTCACATAATTCTCTAACACGTCTCCAGAAGAGAGTAGAGAGGCCGTTATGTTTATTCATGTTGACACGGCTATTCATTATCAACACTTCTATGCATGAATAACAGTAGCATTAAGATCAATCAAGCTCATGAATATTCCACACCATTAAAAGTGTTGTGAAGTCATTCACCAATGGCATAATTAAGAGGACTGGCAGAAACTTTGACGTGCGCACTTATGATACATCATCTGTTTGATATATTTACCTGTCTGTCATGATGAGTAAGATAAATGTGTAATAATGAAATTAATGTTCATTGCTTCATCTTTTTTCTTCATTAACACTTTTCTGTCTATTCAAATCACACCTAATTGTAATGACAGCAGTAACAGCAAAATTTACGCTAATGTATATGCGAAATATGCATATTTGTAAGACTGATGACATGCCAGTGAAGCCTTGGTTTGTGTCTCTGTCCCCTATTTGCCTTTTTAAGGTTTTCGAAACATCAGAGTTTGCGTCTCACCCGCTTTTCTCAGTGACTCAGGGAGGGCTGGATCTGCAGCAAGTGAGTATAATTTATCCATGACGGATAATATAGGGAGCCATGCTTCCCACTATTTCTTTATTTGCCTCTTTCACCCCTGCATGGAGATGGGAATTCTGTTCCCCTCTGTCATTCCTCTTGCCGCATGTTGCAGCCAGTGTCCTCCCCACTTGAGCAAGGGAGCGAGACTATACAGCAATTAATGTTTTTAGACATGAGATTGTTTTTCCACTTGACGTTCCATTCAGGCATGGCTTTACCCTCGACCCACTGCAATTGTATTAATTTTTGCTGAGAACTGAGTTTTGACTTGATTTTATAAATTTGTGTAAACTTTACAGGTATTAAATATAGGGTGTCCCCAAAGGCTGTGGCTGCGGTCCGATTATATTTACAAACTTAAATATTTGGTAATAAAGAAATGTTTACCCCAAAACACTTACTTTTCTACATTTTCATGTAGCTCTTATACATACAATTATGAGCTCAAAAAGATGTGCACCATATTACAAAATGTATGCATCCATATTTTGTGTGAGGAACTGACCAAAATTTAGGTTGCACTTTATTTTACAGTACGTGTACTTACATATACTTACAGTGTACTTACAATGTACCTACCTAAGAAAGTTCTGGTAATAGCTGGTAACTACATGGGGTAGGGTTAGGTGTAGGGGTAGGCTCAGGGTTAGTAACTAGTTATTACCTAGTTATTGTAATTACTATAATAAGTACATAGTATGTACATGAGGAACAGGTTGAGGAAAGTTGATTTTTCTTCTTACTCCAAGTTTTCAAACAACTTTGCTTTGATGTGTATAATTTACAGGGTGGAAAAAATATAATTTTTTAACAGTATGAGGTGCTTATCACTGCCGTTTCTGTGAGAAACATTTATTCTGGATGTTACAGAGTTACAGGATACTCTGCTGCTGTGGGAAGTTCATTTGAGGATATTATGATGGTGTGAATGACTGATAATCTCTCGACTTAATGTTCAGGTCTTCTAGGCAGACTGTTATCAGTGTATATGTGCAAGTTTTACTATGAAGATTAACGGTAACAGTTGATAGCATCACCCATCCCCCATTCCCAAGTCAGCAGTTAAACACATTGGTGAAAGAATGTTTATCATGGCCTGGAGACACACAATATCAAGGCCAAGTCTGTTAAGTGTGTTTTAAAGGAATATTTCCTCAAAAATTAACATTTACCGACCCTTATATAATTGCAAATCTGTATGATTTTCGTTCTTCTGTGAAACCCAGAACAGATGTTTAACAGAATGTCTAAGCTGGTTTTATACACATAAGAGCAAATTTGTGCTCAACATTTGGTTTGTTTTTGAGACGTGAGAACCAGTCGCATTTGTTGTCACTGTTTACTGGCATGATGCAAATAATATGCCAGGTTTGAAAATGTGGATTGGGATTGAGAGCTACGGCGGAGGGCACATATTTTCAGTAAAACAACTAAAATACGGTGTGTTCCTCATACACAGTTGTTTTATGGACAAAATGTATGGCCTTCTTTTTTTTTGGGGAGATTGACATTCCCTTGTCACTGTCTGCTTTCGTTGTATGGAAAACAACCGCAGAAATATTACTGAAATCATCCTGTGTTTTGAGAGTGAATTAATGATGTCAGAATTTTCATTTTTGGGTGAACTGTTCCTTTAAGTGTCAGCCGCCTCTGACTAATGCTGATGTGATGGCTAAAAAGGGGAACCATGTGACCTTCCAATACACACACTCTACCTCGAGAGCTGTAAGGACGAGGTGTCAGGCCCGAGCAATGACATTCTCTTAAACGAGCGAAGATAAATGCTGTCTGCCAGGAGACGGGACTGACAACATCACCACAACTCTTGCTAATGAAGGCACCACGTATGTGTGTATGTGCATAAGGATTACGCAGCGTTAAGTGGCTCAGCCAGGCGATTAATGCTTTTCTACATTATTTACGAGCGTTTTGAGCACGGAGGACAGGAAGGAAAGAAATAATAAGGAAATGACTAAAATTATGAAAGCTCCGCCTCCTTTTCACTACTCTAAGTCCATTCCTGGTAGGCACATGTATATAGCCAAGCTTTTGAAATCAAGTAATAGTTCACCCAAATGAAATTCCAGTTTATTTCCATTTTGCTACTAACCTTTTTGAAAGCTATCAGGCTCCAGAAAGAAATTGCCATTAAAGAGGTCCATATGATTTATGCGCTATATTCCAAAGATTCTAATGTCAAAAATAGAACAAAATTTAAGTAATCAATAATCATTTACTTAAAATCGCGATGCAATGAGAGAAGTGTCATGTCGTTTGTATTCTGATGTTCATCCAAGTGAAATGAATTATCAGACAAGAAAAAAATGTAGTGCACAGAACTCATTCTTTGCATAGGTTGTTTTTTGAATGTTGAGATGTGGGTGTTGCATGCAGAAGTGGAGGCAGATGAACGCAAGCTTGCATGTGGTGGGTTTAAGTGGACTAAATGATTGGAGAAGTCCTGTATACATCACGAGAAGTCATTTTGATTTAAACATTACAAGGTCAAAATAAAAAACTTACAGATCCAACTGTGAACATGCATTTAGAAAATAGATATAGTGAATTTTCATTTCATGCCAACTTTAATCTTCTCGGCTCTCAAATCTCATTTGCATTCAAATGACACATCCAGATGCGCTGTCAGGTTTGAACTTAAATTGCGGACTTTGCTCACACAAAGCTGCTGTACTACTTTAGAAGTCTCGGAATGTAGTGCACGTCTTAGTTTGCGATTTTGTCCTTTTTTGAGCTTGACCTTCTAGTTTGCAAACCCCTTTTTTGTGTTCCATGGAAGCAAGTAAGCCATATTTTCAACATGTTAAGCACAAATTTAAAAGGAAAAGGAGGACAAACAATAAAGATAGCAAAACAAAATGGGAGACTATCAGAGACATTGAAGGGTAAGGGGTGCCAGTCACATAGCAAATTCTGAGCTCACCTCCGGAGAGAAGCTAAATCCGTCCTGACAAAGAAGGGTCATGTTTTCCTCCCAAACAATGTTTGCCTTGAGAGCTGTGACCAATCATTTTCATTAACTTGGCTACCAGAGACATAAACTAGGGTTGCTCCTCAACATAGACTGCCATTTCTGCATCACTGATCTTTTTATTTTATTTTCCATTTTATCCTCCCTCGGTTTCTCTCTCTCCTTCTCTCTTCCACGTGTTTAAACTTTTAAACAGGCTTATGCAAGAGAACCTCTGGGAAGAGCATGCAGCGTTCTCTGTAGCTTTTGCGTCTGGCTATTTGGCTTCTCATTCTCTTTGATGCACAAGCCTTGATTCAGAGATCTTCTAGTTTCACATCTGTCCCCTTTAGAAAGTTTTTGAATTATAAAGGCGGGAGGGTGGTCTAGAGGGGTCAGAGACTCCCTAGTTCTGGCCAAACCAGTTGACAAGTGCCCAAATACCTTTTAAAATCAGCCAACAGTCCACAGAAGACCAGCAAACAACTCTAGGCTTGTATGTATATATCTTGTATAGATATATACCAATAATTACATATCAACTCATATTCATAATTTAGTGACTCTTCCCACTTCAATGAACAACTGTGAACCACACTGATAGTTTTCACATGTTAAGTAATTAGCCAATAACATATTGAAGTCAATGTCAACATGAAATGGCATGTGTAACCCATTTATTTTTGTGAGAAAAGAAATGTTGGGTGAAATGTTCATTTTAGGAAATTCTGGTTTTGTGTTGACTTTAAAGGCACAGAAGCACAAACTGCTTCAATGTTTAGGGTGTGTTAAAGTTATGTGTGTGTTCGACATTTCATTCGGTAACATTAGGCAGTTTTGATTTATATGCTGTTAAATATTTGGTGATCACTTCTATCACTTGTTTCCGCTTCTTCACTTGTTTTTGGATTCAGAGATTCTGTAGAAGATGCATAACACTCCTCAATATTTCTTTTCCAGGCTTATACTGTACAAAACCAATACGGCATTCCACACTCAGAGGTAAGAAGCTTTAGAGAGAACTTCTGAAAACCACCTTCATACTGTGTAACTTCCATTACTTCAGAGTTTTTGTGAAGTAAATTAGCTTGTTTTACACTTGTGAATGAAGTATATGGTTCAATTCTCAGCTGTGTATTATGATAAGAATAATGAAACCCTTTCATCCAAATGAAATTACATTTCCCTCCATTTTTTCTTTCTCTTTTATCACAGTTGGCCAAGTTGCACCAGTTGTCCATGCAGCAGGGTCTTGCCCCCATAGCTCAACCCACAGCCACCCAAGTTCTGTCTGGTATGTTTTGCCAAACCAGGTTTCTTTGAAGAGGAAGATAATGGTTGGGATTACAAAAATTATGGGTTATACACTGGCTTAGACTGTAATCAACTTGTTGCCACCTTGGTCACACAAACAGGATTCCCCTTTTTAATGGTTCACAGGAATCAGTAAAATGGTGTAGAGGTGATCTGACTATGTTTTCAAATGCCAGGAACAGTGTGAATGCAAATATTAGGTTCTTTTTCCACTCGGTTAAGTTTTAGTCTACTTCTAATAGGTCTAAACTTCTTATAGAGAGAACTCAAAAGAACTCGAAAACACCTAATATTTACCCAGAAGCACAAGTCTGCTTTAGCAGCACTAAATCTTTGCGTACAGTGAGAGTGGGTGTGACAATTCCACCTGAGAACTCAAGCTTAAGTACATGGATTCAAACAGACCCCCCAAAGACCCAGACCCACATGCAGATTACAGCTGCAAAAATGGGGCCAAGCTTTACCAGCTAAAGAAAAAGGAGGGACTCTCTCATTTTCTTGCTCCCTCACTTTGTTTCCCTTGCACAGAACCAGACATCCAATTATACAGCCACCCCAAGTTATTCAGTGATGTCTTTCAAGTTGTCTGAAGATTCCAAACATTTGTCAAAGGTTTTGTTGTGTAAGCCCCTCTAAAGCCAACAGACTGTTGAATATTATGGTAAATAAGCACTTTCGGTGCAAATGTGAGAATCAAAAAGCCCCTTTGAGGAATTGAGTGGTCGAAAAAAAATGTAATAGTTGCCCCCTGCCGCTAAAACTACAAGAGCACATACTATCATGATATGGCTGGGGAATTCGATTATGTCTGAGGTAAAAAGCTCATCAGTCAAGGCAATGTTTCAGTCTATTAAATAGGCCCCTGTTGGGCTGGGAAGCACTGCTGGGTCTGGTCCTCCTGCTGAGACAGGAAGTAGATGGATAGAGAAACAGGCTAGCTCTGTGCCAGTTATTAGCGGTTAGGTGATAGCACCCTGCTAACAGATAGGAGAACGCTACAGAGCATTAGTGGCATAAAGTTGATCCACAAAAGATAATTTTGGGTCACAAATAGGCCTATGTTCAAGCTAAAAGGCTCTTTTATAGTAGACCAATTTAAAAGGGTTATACATTTGGTACTTTGTGAGGTAACCTAGTCTAAGGGGTTGATCAGTTGGACTAGCGACTATCAGGATATGAGGGTTGAGGGTATCCTGGTAAACCACCCTGACTAAGCTAATGGGGACTAGTGATTGACCACTTTAGGCTGGTATAACCTGTTTTTTCCAGGGTTGCAAGGATAAAGAACCTTTATGATTTACACACCATACATAATTTCAAAAGCAATTTCAGGTAGTCCTTCCCCAAACTCATGCCATTAGTTGAGCTAATGTTGCTATGTTGATCCAATTAAACAGACTGCAATTTGGTTTGATGCCACTGGTTTGGTTCAGTCCTTGTCTTTTTGAATGGTCTAAATTAGTTAAAAATTGGTTTTGGGCTGTAACTTCATCGCATCAGTGTAGAAATAACCTGAACTATTTTACTGTTCTTCCTTTGGGTTGTCATTTACAATGAACATGCAAAAGAGTAAAGGGGGAAAGAAAATGCACTGTGCATGATGGGTGAAAACAGCACATCCTAAGATTTCTCTTGTCCACGTAAGTTCAGAGGAGTTTCTGTCAGATTTGGAAGAACACAAATGCTGAACAAAAAGAAAGGGAAAGAAAAAAGTAAGCAAGCAAATTATCCTATGGTTTGTTTAACTTGGTACCTATTTCTTTTCCAACAGGCATCGAGTCCAGTTCCCAGACAGCATCACAAGAACTTCTCATTCCAAATGACGTAAGTGCAAAAATCTCTTTTTGCAAGTATCACATTACTCATGCTACTCATTGATATTCCGTACAGCAGCACTTTTGCTTTAGTAATAATGCTTGATTTATGTTTATGTTGTTTATGAAGACATTATTAAATCTTTGAGGATGGTCAGATATTTGTTTTAGACTTTAGTTAAGTGCTTTCTGAACATGCAAAAGAGTAAAGGGGGAAAGAAAATGCACTGTGCGTGATGGGTGAAAACAGCACATCTCTTGTCCACGTAAGTTCAGAGGAGTTTCTGTCAGATTTGGAAGAACACAAATGCTGAACAAAAAGAAAGGGAAAGAAAAAAGTAAGCAAGCAAATTATCCTATGGTTTGTTTAACTTGGTACCTATTTCTTTTCCAACAGGCATCGAGTCCAGTTCCCAGACAGCATCACAAGAACTTCTCATTCCAAATGACGTAAGTGCAAAAATCTCTTTTTGCAAGTATCACATTACTCATGCTACTCATTGATATTCCGTACAGCAGCACTTTTGCTTTAGTAATAATGCTTGATTTATGTTTATGTTGTTTATGAAGACATTATTAAATCTTTGAGGATGGTCAGATATTTGTTTTAGACTTTAGTTAAGTGCTTTCTCTAGAAAGCCTGGTTCTTAACATTTTTGAGAGCACCTCTCATGGCGCACTTTGGCCATGCAGAAATCCAGAAACTTTTTTCGTTCAAACAGACCGACTTGTGTCTTTTTATCTGTCCACCCCCTGCTCTGCTAGAAGAGCTTCACAAGATCCAGTTCAATCCTGTCATGGCGTCTGACATGCTTAGCACTCCTCTGCTGTCAAAACAGAGACGGTAAATAAAGCCAGAGCCTTTTGTCAGAGCTCTAGGTTGTGGTACAGACCCCGCACCCCAGGGGCCAACGAGACGTTCCCTTCATGCCTGCTGACTGGGGCTCCCTCTCGCCTCCACGTCTCCCTGATATCACAGGATTAATCGACTGGCGAAGGGCCCAGCCATGGACTCTGACCATACTCAATACATAATTCAGCTCCCATTGTTTTGTTATTTTAAGCCCTTATGCCAAACTAGTAATAATCTACAATTAAGGCAGCAGTTTTTAGTAAAACCAGTGCTGTTCACATATGACAAGTTTGTGTATTGTCTGACTTTCCCCATTTTCAGTGTCTCACACCAGTTAACAACAGTTTATCTTCAAAAAAAAAAACTTATTGATTCATTGTAGTGTACACGAGTACATGTCTTATGTGAACTACTCTTTACTCATTTTGTCTTGTTTGTTGTCAGTAAATGTAGTTAGTAATCTATTATTCTTAGTATACGCCCTGCAATTTGAGAAATATTTTAGTTATACAAGCCAACTGTTCTATTTTAATCTTACATAGTGTATATGCATCTTTGATTTCTTGCGCAGCTGTAATGACTGACAAACTGAGTGGATGGAGTATCTAGAGTGATTCCGTACAAGCGAAGTCATTGACTACCTTGATGCACATGAACAAGAACTCAGCTCTTATCACATTGACACCAGCTTCAAGTAAATCTTGACTTCCTGAATGCATTCATTAGGTGCTAGACCTCATTTCTAAACCTCAGCGTACATGATAAACTTCAAAGGAACTTCACCCATTTCTCCAATCAAGGGCTAATTTAACATGCTTGTACATTCATATTCCTGCATAAAGCCATAAACAGAGCAATGGAAAGCATGTATTATTGAAATTCCCTTACAGCGATGCAATTCCAAGGCAAGGCGACATCAAACAGACATCAAACGCCTGGCAGACTAAGTTGTTTATCATTCGCAATCAGGTTTCTCTCTAGAGGAGCAGTTTCTCCATGGTGAACCATCCCCTTAAATCGGCAGAAACACGTCGCAATTAGATTGGGATCAGATCAGTGCTTGAGAGCAGCAGTGGCAGCAGATGCAGCTGGTCCATAACGCTACCTGTTCAGAGATTGCCCTGTGAGAGGTGGAAGAGACCATCAGTGATAACCGTTTTAGCTGGCAGGAGATGTCCATGCTGCCCAGACTTTCAAAACTAAGTAGATTCACCTAAAATAGACCTGTCTCCAGCTTGACTAGGGTATAAATACCTGTGTTTTTCGCTTCAGACAGATTTGACCCCTAGCTTGCAACTTTCAATGGATACGAAGAAATCAATAAAACGGACTAAACTGAAGTTTTTGTTTGGAACTGGTAAATTTGACGGCTGGAGGAGGTTGTGTGGGTGTCAATACTTTGTTTCGTTGATATATTGCTTCAGGATGGATAATTCATAGAGTTCTAAAAATGAAGGATATCAGTGGGCAAATATGTGGTGCAGTGCAGAGGACATGCTGGAATCCTTTACGTCAGGGTGACAGAGAGACCTGGCGGTCGACTACAAGCACTTAGCCACAATCAGCTGAGCCATTAATAGCCCCTGGGCACCAGGGAGAGCGGTGTGACGAATCAGGAGCTTTGACGTTCATATGACTCGTGAGGAAAGGAATGCTTTGTTGAGCAATTCTTGCCCACATAACCCAACTCACACTCAAAGTGAGGGTTGGGGGCTGGGATGTGGAGTGGACAAAAGACTAGCTGTCAATCATTTGAATGACAAACTATTAACTCATCCCAGTTGGGGTCACTCCACTTTATCATTGTCTAAGCTTGACTTCAAGCCCTAAGTTCACCCAACCCCCTTGGTCCGCTTTCTTCAGGCTGTGGACACCTTCTACAGAAGGTACAGTAACCCCAATCTGGATTCATCCAGCAGGTTTTTGGTGTGCTGCACGCCCTCAGATTTTTTTAAAAACTTGATGCTGCCACAGTAGGATGAATTAGTTCACCAGCTGCTGTTGGTTTAAACTGACCGCCTGGATCTGCAGAACTATTAGCAGATGCTTGTTACAGAGACAATGCCATGCACAGACACAGCCTTGACACTTTAGGCCCAGATGAACAAACATAACAAACCAGCACCTCAAAGTCAAACATGATGACATGCACACAAAGACAGACTTGAGTGTTTGTCAAGAAACACATTAGATATGGGCATGAGAGCGCAAATAGTGTCCCTGAAATCAATAGTCACATGGGCAGTAGGACTGTATACCATGTTTTATGAATTTCTGGATTGCATTTGAATAAGCTCCTGGGAAATTATCTTGATGTGGAGTCTGAACAACAGTTTTAGTTTTCTTTAAATTGGTCGTATTGTCATAATGTTTATTTTGCAATTTTGTACCATGAGCAGTGATGTCCCATCCTGTTCCTGGATGGCAACTGTCCTGCAGAGTTTAGTTCCAACCCCAATTAAACACACTTGGACCAGTTAAGTTCTTCAGGATTTCTAGAAAACTCCAGGCAGGTGCGTGGGAGTTAAACTTTGCAAAACTTTGGCCCTCCAGAAGCAGGATTGGACACCCCTGTCTTAGACGGAAATAGTGCCAAGGAATAGCTGTGTATATATATTTATTAACCTGATTGGTATTTTCTTTCCTCACAGCTGATTGGTTCAATAATCGGCAGACAGGGTACAAAAATCAACGAGATTCGCCAGGTGTCAGGAGCTCAGATCAAGATCGGCAGTCAAATGGACAGCACTAGTGACCGACATGTCACCATCACAGGCTCTCCAATCAGCATCAACTTGGCCCAGTATCTAATCACATCCTGGTAAGCACTGGAAGCCATCCCAACATAACAGATCCAGGGTGTTTGAACTTAACCACGTGTTTATGTGGCATATTTTACACCATAATGCTATAGAGGACCCTGAAGTAGGAGACCTTGTCAAAACCTCTGGGAATATTCAATCAGGGGCCTTTCCTTGGAAACTATGGAGTTTGCTGGCCAAAAGAAGTACTCTTGAGCAAAAGCACTGCACAACTACAAAGCAAGGAGATGTGGTAGAAAGAAGCCAGGCTGAGGGATTGGCCAAGTTTCAAGCCAGAAGCTTGTTAGAGCTTAAAGGCAGAGTATTTTGGCTGCTTCATAGAAAGACAAATTTTCTCCCACGAGATCTATGCAGTTGCAATTTGATTAAATGTTGTGTCAGGCAAGAAAGCAGTAAATTCCTGACAGCTCGGTTCCTCAGCAAAGACTTCTCCATCAATGCTGGGGCAAAATTTCATTTGCTAATGTAACAAAATTAATAGTTTTGTTCTTTACCCAGGCTTATAAAAATACTTCTAACGTCAGTTCAATTAACATAAGGAATTAGCAAAACACTCATAATAAATCTGAACAATTCAAACCAATATTGTTAGTAAAGTTCAAGTCAGTGACAAAAAGACGACTCAAATTTATTCTGTGGACCCGAGCATATGCATTAATGAATAATAATGAGGAAACAGAATTGGACACCACTCCAAATGAGTGGCTTCTTTATTTATTCCCGCATTTCAGTATTGGCTAGCAAAGAAATTAAGATTTCTAACAGATGCAGTGTCATGTGCAAAATAATATATTAATTCTTCTAGCATATTATGACTCAGCAAGTCGACAAGAGAGCAATAATTGGGTCTTGAATGAAATATTTATGCTTGTCTCAGGTGTGTTCAACAAGCAGACCGGTGCAGAATGTCAAACTCATTCTGAGAAGCCCCTCATTATTTTATTTGAAAAATGTTACTCAGGCATCCTGCATGGAAAAATTACTATGTTGGTTCCAAGATATTTTGGGAAAGCTTTTGTTGTTTTGTTTCTGTCTTAATATTATTGATTTTAGTGGTTTCTCATCAGTTGAATTAATATCATTTTGGTTTTTGACAAGTGACGGCAACAAACGCCGATCCCAGAGCAACCGAAGGCACTCTAGCATCAGAATACTTCCTTAATGAGTCAGCTCCATGAAGCCATTAAAAATCAAACATGATTATTCATGTCCTGGATCAAGTCTGGAGACGTCACCCCCAATCAATGTCACTCTCCAAGAATCCTTCCTCGGAGACAGACGTCTCGTTTCAATGCATTGCATCAGAGAGTTCTGCATATTGAACACACCCCCTACTTGATAATGTCCCGAGAAATCAGTTATACGCCCTCGATATACATTAATGGCAGAGCACATTTGATTACATGCATTTGTCAACATGGTACTCAGTGCAATTGCATCTTTTTGACGATTTGATAAAAGATAAAGGAAATGCTACTGAAATTGAAATCATTTTGTTTCTTTTCCCAAAGCCCCTACCCAAGCCATCACCCTGAATTAAACAGCTCCTTTCCCATGAGTGCCAAGGTCCCCCCTCAAATAATCTGTTGCAACCACCAGCAAAACACACCTCTCTTATAATTTTTTGTTTCTGTTTTTTGATTCTTTCTTTTTTTATTTCTCTCAATTTTTGTTTAACATGTCTTTTATTTAACCTTCTAACCCTTCTCCATCCGGCTCCCCTCCCTTGTCCTTCCACCCTCCTCTCCTCCACCTCCTTCCTTCCCACCCTCATACAGTTTAGAGACCGCCAAATCCACTGCCCAGTCCTCCTCCATGTCGACCCCTGTAGACCTCAACATGAGCTTCACCCAGACTGCTCCCCCTGCATCGTCCTCTGCCGCAGCCCTGGCAGCGATGGGCGGCCTGCCCCACGCTCCAATCTTGGGCGCCCCCTATACCCTTCCCCTCTCCAGCCTCCTGGGTATCAAATCCATCCCCTTCCTGGCACTCTCGGCCCCTGCTGCCCCTGCCCACAGCACCTTGGCCTCCTACACCGCCAAGATCTCCTCCGCCAATGGCATCAAGAAACCAGAGAGACAGAAGTTTGCGCCCTACTGAAGAGGAACTACCGAGTACCTCCTTTGTTTCCGAGAAAACGACCGGAGAGGAATACTTTAAGGTTCTTCTCTTCTAGCCTGATGTAGCGGTGTATATTTTGGTTTAATAGCTTGTCCTGAAAAACTGTAGGAAAATAATCGCATAATTTTTTTTTTTTTCCGAGGTAGCCGCTAAAGCCATAGACTATTCCTAATCTCCTATTTTCCCGAAATCTTTACACGTTTATTGTCTGCTCTTATTTATTGATAATAACGAAATATTCCCGCAAAGAGTTTATAACGTAGAACACTGTTGACTGATGCTAATCTCTTATGTATCAGTTTTTATACAATGATGTCTGTGAATGCTTCTGTATACAACTTCCTGATTTTTTAGAAATCTTTAAATGATGTATTAAAACAAAATATGAAAAAAAAGGAAATGTTTTTAAAATGACAACAGATTCAAGCATTGTTTTTGCGTTACATTTTTACGTTTTGTTCACATTCGTTTTGAAATGTTATTTATTTTATTTATTGTGCGGAGTGTTTCTTTTACAGTTACTGTTGGTTTTCTGTAACGGCTGCAGGAAAAAAATATATCTTTTCAAATCTCTTCCATTCAATCATGGTTACATACATCCTGAAAAATACACATGTCTAAGTAACCACAAACAAGATAGCTGTTTAAGTAGTGAGTTGCTTTACTTTCTATGGGAAGTGTATAGTGCCACGGTGAATTCTGGCGTGATTAAATATCCAAAATATGAAACAGCTAGCAAATTCATTTCAAAACTTTGGCTAGCTATGGCTGAGTATGGACAATATTGTTTCAGGGGGTTTCTTTCACCATTTCTAATGGCATAAAATGACTACTATGCATGGTGACTGCCCTTGTCGGAAACTAATGCTGTATGTTGACTTGGCCCCTCACACGTACACACTAGCAAAGATAGCTAATGCGCAGGTCTCTTTGTTGATGGTCATAAAAACAGGCAGTGTTGCAGAAGAGCAATATTGGTTTGAAAATGCTAAAGTACACATATAGCAAGACCTACACATAAACATGCTTCAAGTGTAGCTACAGTAACCATTATGCTCGATCACAGAGTATATTACGTGGACTGACTTTTTTTTTTTTTTTTAATATAGAAATAATCACACTTATTTTTCTAAACCTAGAGTCCTAAAAATTGAATGTGACCACTCACACGATTCACTCACTTGGTAGATGTAATGTAACCTTGACTCGTGTTTGTCATTTTTTTCTTTATCGTAATGTTTTTGTTTTGTTTTGTTTAGATCTTCTCAAACGTCTTTCCCATACTCATTTGCATGAATTTAACTTGGCGTCTATGCAAAACATTTCGGGGGCGGTTCAGCAAGGTATCTTATGTCATGCTTCATAGATGGCCCTAAATAAACCACCGTTGGGAAAGGGCTATCAGCAAAGGCGGAACCCAAGACAAGGGTAATGATGCTCTCGCAATTTATGAACCATGCTATGTATAATATATATACATAAATATATATATGTTATATTATATCCATATATCCCATTCCAAAGCCTAACACATAACCACCCTTTCACACACTATATGAAATGACACAGTGTGGCTATGACACGCACTGTCACACTTCACCGCGATAATTCCACGATAGCCGGACATGGTTTGAAAATTGTTCAGATGCTTGAATTATCCGAGGTCTGGTTTTTGGATTCACATGAGGTTTTGTTTGTCAGCCTTGGCATAAATGCAACTCTTGTTTTAGTTTTATTCATCAATGCCATACAAAGGAATAAAAACAATACTGTATTAACGTAATCCAGTCTCTTTTGTTCTTTCTCAGCTGTGTGAAATGAAACAACATTAACATTAATAGCGGAGTGTTTTAACAATTCAAATAAACCAGCGATTAAAACCAAGCCCTAAGGTACAATGTGTGTTTTACTAAAGCAATAATCCACTCAAGGCCAGTACATTGCAGTGATTTTGTCATGGGTAAGAGGTGTTGTTAAGGTTAGCCATGACACAAAGCCCCTTAACTATGGTAAAATCAGCGTACTTTATGACCTCCAGTGCAATGTTGCTTGCATAAAATGGCAGCAACAGTAATATAAGACAAGCAATATTCATTTTCTTCACAGTAATTTTCTTCAAAATCGAATTTCTGAGTTGAAGCTTGCCAAAATTTGATTCCAAGCTAAAAATACTGTGAATGACATAATTGAATCAGACTTCAGACACAGTAATTGCTTATAAGTATTAAAACTGTATATGTTAAGTCGGCATGACATAGAAATGCACCCTATGTATTTTCAAAATGCATCTTACAGATCTTATAGGGAACAATTCTTCTATGCAGGTTTCATTTTAAAAATATTTTTTGACCTTGTAATTTTTCATCAAAATGTCATAACTTGATCTTCCGGAGAAACAAGAGACTTCTCTCTGATGAATGCCATACTTCTCCAATCATTTTGTCCGCTTAAACCCTGCCCCTTTCTTAAAACTGACATTTTTACTGACAAAGCTCACATTTAGATCACATTCAGAATGCATTCAGCCAATGGATAGAACAAAGTCTATCCATCAAAAGTTTTTTTGTTTTCCCTTTCCGATAATTTGTATCACTTACATCAAAATATGTCGCTGTATGTCACACTATGTTGCTACATTACATTGCAACTTCCTCGCAAAATATTAAGATATATTAAAAAAAAGTAATAGTTTGAGGAATGCGTCATGAAAGTAGACAGTCACTACTGAACTCTTTTGACGCAGCTTATATAGTAACAGCAACTTTTTGCAAGTGGTGTAGTTCTTCATTAGGAATTTGACTATTAAACATTTTTGGTGTGTTTAAAGGGATAGTTCATCCATAAATGAAAATTGTGTCATCATTTGCTCACCCTCACATTGTTCCAAGCCTGTATGAATTTCTATTTTCTGCTGAACACAAACGATATTTTGAAGAATGCTGGTAAACAAACTATTTCTGGTAGCCATTGATGTCCATTGTATTTTTTTTCCATATTAAGGAAATCAGTGGCTACCAGCAGCTGTTTGGTTTCCAACATTCTTCAAAATATCTTGTTAATGTTCAACAGAACAAAGAACTATTCCTTTAACAGCCGTTGAAATTACACTAAATGGTTCACTAGATGCATATATACCATCTCTAATCTCACGCTACATCTGTCATGAAAGGTTAATATGCTTACGTTAGAAATCAAATCTTCAAATAAGCTTTTCTCTGCATTCATTACGCAGTATTAATTCCAACACACAGTCATTAGAAGATTTGCCTGTTCTGTCAACATCGACGTTACATTTTTACAAGGTTAGCATCCTCTCAAAAGCTAATTAAAAAGCCGTTGCGCAGTGGGCCGTTAAAATAAGCAATCTAAAATAAGACATCACACTTTGTTTGAACAAGTCTCTGTTGTGTCACTCAGTGCAGACGGTGTATTTTCATTTCTGAGGAAAAGCCCCTTGAGACTAGTACAGCTGAATCTCAATAGTGATAGCCAAAATGCATGTGTATAATAAACAAACTCTGCTATAATAACATGCTGACACATCAGCCGCCCTTTCCATCTTACTATCCCAGCGCAACCTGGGCCGAGAGTGCCGCCCATGGCGGTTTGCCATCACACCACCAAATGCAACGACGCCAGAGATGAAAGCAGTCTATGAATAAAGCTTACACCTCGCAGCAGCTGCTCAAACACAAACAAATTCTTGCAGGCGGGGTTTTCTGTCCCGAGCGGGTGGGGGTGTGTGTAATGACAGCCTAAACACAGTCTACATCTCTCACAAAGGAGCTCGCCGATGCCCACACACGACAATCTGTGACATCTAGTGCAAAAAAAACCCAGAAAAAAATACCCAGGTTTGGTGTCCTTCATTGGTGTTGACTGTCCATGGCCTGAGACAGATACTTTACAAGAGTAATTATGCAACGATAACTTCCTACACCCAGCGAGATCAATTATAATTTCAATTCACCAACAATTAAAGGCAATCTGGAGACAAAGCAGTTGGAAACGGAAGCCGGTAATTATATGGTGATGGCCATTTGACTGTGGTGGGAGCTCAACACAAGTGGGCTTGGCATGTGAATAAAAGCACACGCTCTGTGTCATGTACTTGGGGTAAAAAAAACCCCATCAAATTGGACTTGAATTCAGAGGAAACTGAAATTCATCTCAGCCCATTAAACAGAAACTAGAGTGCATTTTTAGCCTAAAGCTATTCATAATTATTTAGGGCGACTGTGACCTTCGCCAGAGGCAATGCAAAAGCCTGTAAAATATTTTGAACGTAAGAAAAATGGAGAAAGCGAAAACTGCAAGTTTGTCTCTTATTAACATAGCAAACAAAACATCCAGTTTTCATCATGAAACCGTTCTTGAGATGATGGATTATTTCCCCTATACACCTGGATTTGCCCTTGGCAGTGTTGTATTAATATTATAGTATTTTGAATTAGGTTTTATTTTTATATTTTCAGTTTTCATTTTACTTTATATATATTTTCCTCAGCTTTTTATTCAAGTATGTGCTTCAACATATTTCAGTTGTTTATTTCAGATTCAGTATTTTCATTTGATATCTATTTCAGTTTTATTTAAGTTAACTTTCAGTTCGTTTTAAGTTAACAAGAACACTGGCCCTTCGTTACCAAGTTGTAGTATACGATCAAGTCTGATTTAAAGAGGCACAACTACCACTTTCTGGCCCATAAGCTTCTATTTTAAAGGCAAAGTGTGTAATTTCTGCACCACCAGAATTGAATTGCAAAAATAATGACCGCTCCCCTCATCATACATTGGTCAGGCAAACAAACAGCCCCGCCCATATTGTAATTAATATTCATGAGCCAAGACAACACTTCTCTTTTTTATTTAGTTTCCCTTGATGTACCAAAGCAACTAAAACAAATAAAAATTAATAAGAACTATAAATATTTACAAAAAAAGAAAAGAAAAAAGACACTAAAAATGACAAAACACACAACAAAATTACTAAAACTTGAACTAAAATTAAAATGAAAACAAAAAATTTAAACATTGTAACATAATGTTACATTAATGTAACATTAATAAAAAAAATAGTTTCTCAATGATACTAAAATATCACTGCCGTGAAACATGACAAAATCACAGTATATATTTTGTCAGCATGTGCCAGACAAAAAAATAAATAAAAAAATAAAAAAATAAATAAAATCAAATTTTCCTCAGCTTTTTATTCAAGTATGTGCTTCAACATATTTCAGTTATTTCAGATTCAGTATTTTCATTTGATATCTATTTCAGTTTTATTTAAGTTAACTTTCAGTTCGTTTTAAGTTAACAAGAACACTGGCCCTTCGTTACCAAGTTGTAGTATACGATCAAGTCTGATTTAAAGAGGCACAACTACCACTTTCTGGCCCATAAGCTTCTATTTTAAAGGCAAAGTGTGTAATTTCTGCACCACCAGAATTGAATTGCAAAAATAATGACCGCTCCCCTCATCATACATTGGTCAGGCAAACAAACAGCCCCGCCCATATTGTAATTAATATTCATGAGCCAAACAGAATCTCACAGTTTATGTAATGAACAGCCAACAAAAAGTAAACTTACTGAGGAAAGCTGTTAACAAGAAGACTCATCTTATACAAAAAGATGAACAATTTTCACAATGTTTTAGGCCTAATTATTAAACTTTTATGACAAAAACACAATCTCAGTCAAGTGTATCCATTGCAGCCAGTAAAATATATATATATAAAAATTTAAACATTGTAACATAATGTTACATTAATGTAACATTAATAAAAAAAATAGTTTCTCAATGATACTAAAATATCACTGCCGTGAAACATGACAAAATCACAGTATATATTTTGTCAGCATGTGCCAGACAAAAAAATAAATAAAAAAATAAAAAAATAAATAAAATCAACAAAAAATACTATTTTAAGGCAGAAGTGTTTATTGACCAAGACAACTGAGCATTGAATATGAATATGCATGTAATACATTAGCTGAGCATTCTCCAAATAAAGGTCAACACAGTCTTATGACACAAATATAGGTTTTTCAATGAGTAATTCTTACATTTTTAATACCACCTGCTGCCACTTTCACCAGCAACATCAAGTAGTAAAGGATGATTCATGTTCGGCCCGTACTTCCTGTTCCAACAGGAAATACTGTGCATGGCTTATATAATGTTCAAGTGAATGCAGTTTTAACAGATTTGTGTCCCTCCTAACAATTATTTGGATCGATACGGCGTCACAAAAGGTGCGTTGGTTCATTTTTACTCCCTGTAATTACGCGTCTATGAGAGTGAGTCACACGGGCAGATCTGAAACTTACACAGCAATCCTACAATCAGTGACAATGAGGGTTTTCAGCACAGGCAGTCTAATGCCAGAGATCTGAGTGTTAAGTGATTAAACATTCGTCTCGTGAGAGGAGTCTGTCCCTCGCGCTAATTCACGACAGTTTGTTGAGCACACAGCCCATTCATACACACATCATGTACAAACTGCCTTCCCATTCACTATATGCAAAACAAACTGTGAAAGGCACCACTGAATGTCCTGCTTATCAACACAACCATTCTGAAGTACTAAAGCTTCCTTTTGGAGGCTGAATGACATTTCTTTGTGCCTCTGCTCATCTTCTACCTCCCTGTAATAGTGATCCTCAATCCAATAGCATCAAACTCCTCACCTCGTCTCAAAGGCCTCTGAAGTTTCCTCCCTCGGCGTCCCAGAGGGCCACACGTGCCCTGATGGTTCAGGAGGACAATCAGAAAAC